TATATATATGAAAGATATGTTTGATTGGATTAATATCAAAGCTAGTTAGCCAAAAAAAAAATTAATATGAAAGATAGAAAATTTGAAGTAATATATATATCTTTTTAATTCATATCTTTACGTACATTTGTCTCATGTAATGGATCTTTTAGATGAAAAACATGACGTTGTTAATTATCCAATAGTAGTTGAAGTTTTGGAGACATCCATTATTCTCATTATAATAAGCATGAAAATCGTCAAATATCTATTTAATTTAAAACGGTGAATCAAGTAAAATTAAGAACAGAAAATATAGAACGCCATCCTTGATCACTAACATGAACATCGTCCCAGAAAAAAAATGAGCTTGGATCTTTGCAGAGACTGAACAACTTTTCACCTCTCTTGCCTACAGTTCCACAAGAGTTACCTGGTTTGGTTCCAACACAACATGCCTTCAATGGTTCCGAAAATGTCGAAACTCCTGCCCAAATTAAACAATATTATGTTACTTACGGTCTATCTTGGTATCAACGCATGAGGTACGTTTATATGTATTACTAGGTTCACTATGCAAATGCAATACTCAACCAAAAAATTGGACCAACAACATATATATCAATAATACATATAAACGTACCTGGAACTCCTTTGTTTTTGAATATGGTCACGAAAGCATTATAGAGATCAAACATGAGGAAGCTTTTATCATTCTTCTCGACGTTTAATTTGATCAGTCCTGCACGTAGAAGACTGTTGTGGAGGCTCGTGGACGTGTCATTGATGTCGCAGCCTTTAGGAGTGACGATCAGAGGCACACATTTCTGTGGCGGAGACAAAGCCACAATCACTTTCCTCACTCCCAAGTCTTTAATTCGCTTAACATCCAACAAAATTTGTTTCACAACTCTCCTTATCAATGCTGGGCGACCCTGCCATTTTGTTATTTTTGTTATTAGCAATAAATACTGTGCCCCAATTCACATATATATCCTACAAAAATCCTCTAAAAAGTTAATATTAATAAGTAATAACCTATATATTTGATAACAATGA